GGCGTGTTTTGATTGGCTACGCACGTTATTTTTACGTGCGTAGTACTGATGTAATATTTCTTCGCCAGGCAGCCAGCCACTTGAAATATGCGGGTCCCGCATTTTCATCTAATCAAAAAAAAAAAATGACGCGCTAAATTTAAAGCCCGACCTAGGCCTGATGTCCCCCTTTTTTGTAGTATCCCGTCTTTTTGGCTTCTTCTCTCCTCTTTTTGGATTTATACGCCTCGGCCCCTCAGAAAGTTATATTCTGTCATTTACAGTAGAAAAATAGGGTTTCAAAAAGCATTTTTTTGGCTCTGTTAGGGTTTAGTCATTGCAGTCATACGGTCACTTTGTTGCTTTGATAGAGATAGATTTCTTTCTTAATGAAGAAATGAGGAGCATGGATTACGAAAACAATGTCAATGCGTTTGGAACAGATGTGAGATTTCTTGCTTGCTTGAATCTGTTTTTCAGTTTTTTCTTGCATTTTCGTGAGGTTATTTGTGGATTATTTTGTGGTTAGGGTTTAGTTATCTGCGGGTTTTTTGAAGAAATACTCAATAACCTAGGAATAACCCAACAATAACTGAAAAATAACCCGAGAAAAAGTAACTCACTAGTTCTCTCAAAAAATAATAAAATATACTTTGAAATTATTTTGTATGTTTAATGGATGTATTATGGATTATTTTGTGGTGATTTAGGAGTTATTTTGAGTTTAGTTTTAGGTTATTTGCGGGTTATTGTTGAAGAAATACATAATTACCCGAGAATAATTCAACAACAACCCCAGAATAACCTAAAAAATCTTTTTTATCTGCATATTTGACTATCTCTGTGGTATAATTCAAAATTGTAGTTACCTGGGTTAGGAAATGATTACAATGATCTAATTGTTCATAGTTTTCTTAATAATAGTGTCAATGAGGTAGAGACTTACAAACACTTGCGCTTATGCACATCAAGTTGATTTCACTGTCCGCAAGGATCACAGCAGTTACTGGGCTAAATCCAAGCAAATTAAGTCGAAAGATTATATTTGTGGAAAAGCATATCATAAGAGAGAATCACTGAATGCAAATACGGTGAAATACAGAAAAACGAATACAAGGGTTGACTATCAAGCAATGGTTCACTATGCTGTTGATGTTGATGGCAACTGGACAATAAAAAAATTTATAGAAAGTCATAACCACCCCTTGGCGGAATCCGGTGACAAGCACCTTCTACGTTCTAGTAGGAAGATTAGCGAGTTAAATGCAAATATGCTGAGATCAATGACAGGTTCGGGGATTAAAGTAGCAGACGTATTTAATTTCCTTGTTACAGAGGTTGGGGGAGTTGAAAACTTAGAGTGTACAAGGCAAGATGCTTACAACTTTATTTAAAGGGAAAGAAAAAGTGGAATTGAACAATGTGATGTCAACTCTCTCTTACAATTATTCATGGAGCGACAAACTGAGGATAGCATGTTTGCATGGGACTTCCAAAGTGATGAGCAGGGTATACTTACAAGCTTTTTCTGGAGTGATGGGTCTTGCATACTTGATTATGATTGTTTTGGGGATGTCGTCATTTTTGACATTAACTACCGTTTGAATAAATATAATTTATGATGTGCTCCTTTTGTAGGGATTAACCACCATTGGCAAAACGTTCTCTTCAGATTTGGTTTTTTATCTGACTAGACGATAGTGTCCTTTAAGTGGTTATTCAAAACATTCATTTGAATAATGGATGATAAGCATCCAATTATAATTTTTGCAGATCAGGATCAAGCGAGGGCAAGAGCCATTGAAAATTGTCTTCCACTCACAAGACAAAGATTATGTCAGTGATATATCTATAAGAAATTCATTGAGGTTTGACGTACAAGAGCGTTAACAATATATTTTACAAATGCATGAGTAAGTGTGATTCCGAAGAAGAGTTTGAAGATACTTTGGCTATAATGATTGAGCGAGGAAACCTACACAAAAACGTGTGGCTAGATGCATTGTACCATATAAGACATAAATGGTCAACAACATTCAATAAAGAAATATTTGGAATGAGAATATGATCTACGCAAACAAGTGAGTGCACAATTAACGTATGTCATGGTGCATCTAAGCCCGCTAGTTCTTTCACTAATTGCTTGATGGGTCTTAAAAATATTATGAAATTTTGGTGAACGAGAAGGATAAAGACTTCAAAAGTTCTCATAAAGTTATTACACCAACAGTTAAAACAAGCCCAGTGTTAAGGCAAATTGCTACATATTACACCTGGAAGCTTTACTCCATGTTTGAGGAAGAGTTATTGCATGGGCTATATTGATTAACTGTCGACTTCTCAGTTGATAGTACATCTGAATTCTATGTTAGGAATTTGGATAATCGTGACACGAGTAGAACCTGGATTGTTACATTTGATAGGGTTGATTGTTACATCACTTGCAGTTGCAAGAAATTTGAAATGATGTGGATGCTTTGCGCTCACTCTCTACACATTCTTAATGCGGTAAATTTAACAAAAATTCTCGAGAAATATTTGTTATTGAGATGACCAGCTAAAACAAAAAAAGACATCTATAATAGTTTTGGATACAAATATATGAAGGTTCTCAAATGTCCGACAGAACTACCGTGAAATTCTATTTTGGTCACACGCTCAGAAGTTTGTCTACCAACTAATTAATAATGCAGAAGGAAATTCGAGACGTATATACTGGAATCATTAAAAGCACTATCTGTAGGTGTTGAGAATATATTAAATGTGCAGGATCCTAAACCAAATAAAAAAACTAAAAAAAGGAAATCACATAACAGAGAGTGCAATGTGAATGATTCTACAAAAATGAGACCTAAAGGTGTTTCTAATGCGAGGTTGAAAGGATACTAGGAAAAAAAACAAGAGAGCTAAGAGTATATATTTCTGCATTCTTTATATTTACTATTCTATGTAACATTAATTTTCTCTAACTTGAACCACTGTATGCAGGAAATGATCAAGAAGTATACACGAGCCAAAAACCACAGATTCATTACAACGCAAATATGATTGCAGAGTCACATTCTATGAGTCAGGTATGAAACTGAAATCTCATACTATTATTATGTTTGTACATTAAAATATGGTTATTAACATTCATTTCTATTTACAACAGGAAAATGTCACACCGGAACCAACATACACCGCAATTCTGATGCATTCCATTAGTCAGATCTAAGCCAACTGAGACAAACACCTTCAATACTTGACCTTTTCATTAACAGAACAATGAATGCTTACAATATCTGTAAAGAATTGTGTAATATATTTTTAGGTTTTTGTGTATATATGATCGTTTTAATATGTTTGTTATGCTTACTGTACTATGTAAATCTGTGTTGAATCTATTGTAAGGAACCTAGCCATAATCATGTAGTAATCCTGTAATAGTACCTCAACAATAATTCATCAATAACCCAACAATAACTCAGCAATAATCCATAAATAACCCATCAATAATATAGCAGTAACCCATCAATAACCCATTAATAACCTAACAATACCCCAACAATAAACCATCAATAACCTGACAATAGGGTTGTCAAAACGGCTCGTTGTTCGTGAATAGCTCGTGTTCGGCTCATTAAGAAGCTCGTGTTTGGCTCGTTTG